AGAGATCAAAATACAAAGATGACCAAAGCTTAACCAAAGAGGCAACAAAAGCGGCCAAACAAGGCCTAATAGAGTGAGTTTGCACTCAAAACACCAAACAACCTCAATGAAAGTTCTAAAGCATGAAAATATAAGCCTTATTCATAGCATGGCATATGTAATGCGATCAATTATCACATATTCGATTTGTAAATTGAAGTACAAATGCAGTTAGCGTGATGGATGCTCACCCTTGAAGAACCTTTGAAGAACAAATGGTCTAGCCCTCTTCTTTTGATCAAAATCAGTCCAAAAACTCAAGAAACAACTCCTCAAGTCCCTCAATCTCGGAGCAAGGTGTAATAGTGTGTGTAATGGCGCAAAAGTAAGGTAAAAACACACTTTTGAGCTAAGAAAAACACACAAAGGAGGAGAGAGAGGGAGATATAGAGATAATATGTATCTATATCTCTAAGCTCTGGTTTTTTGTTCCAACTTTCTAACCTAGACCAAAGAGGAAGACCCTCCCTCTTATAAGACTCCCTCTTGCAAAGCTTATACAACAAGCTTGCTTAGAGGGAGATCCCTCCATACACGTGTATGGAGGGAGGCAGAGTTGGTGCCAGCTATCACAGCTGGCACAAAATATCTCCATAAAGTGGATGAACAGTGGTCGGCTGCCCAAAAAAGTTGTTTCGACAAAAAAAAGTGCCGACCGGCAACAAACTATGCCGACCGGCAATCAAATATGCCGACCGGCAACAAAATGTGCCGATGGAAGCAAAAGACCAGCCGGTGGCCTCTAGCCACTGCCGGCGGTGTGTGGGGATGCCTTACAAGGCCTTCCTTGCCTTTCCAAGGCAAAACATAAGTGTTCGGTGTGAAACCAAACACTAAACGGTCAAGTTCGGAGATCCTGAGGCAGGGCGTGCGAGCCGAAACCTCCGGGAACTCTAAACGAACACATACATGAATAATCACCGAGTGTTCCAAGCGGTGACGTCCAAGTCTCAAGGACGGTCAAAAATGGGGTGTCTACAAATATGTAATAACATATATATACATATATGTAAGTTAGAAGTAGAAGTAGATGTCAATGTACAAGTTCAAGTAGACTGAATACTTTTGTGATGTTTTCGAGGAAGTTATGTTTTGTTGTGTATTGAAACCTAATTATTGTACCTCTTTTGTGGTGAGTGGAATGGAAAATGACTTGTTCAAACTTGTACACTTTCTTCAATACTCATTGAATCGACATTGTTAAATACAGGAAACTGTTGAATGCAAGGTAACTATTGTTGAATACATGTAAACTATTGAATATATATGGTTGAATACAGCGAAACTATTTAATATACATTGTTGAATACAGGGAAACCATTGAATATACATTGTTAAATACAGGGAAACTATTGAATATACATTGTTCATTACAGGGAACCTATTGAAACACATGGTTGAATACATGAAAACTGTTCAATAAACATTGTTCAATACAGAGAACTGCTAAATAAACATTGTTCATTACTAAATATTGCAACATCTTCATTACATAACAAATAATAATAATAACATAACTTCATTAATAATTAGTACACCACATGTTTTACAAATCCATATGCTGAATCTCAATAACAAAGTTGTAACATAAGCTACAATCTCAAAAATAAAGTTTGAAACTCAGATTAACAGAGTACATAATTTCCAATCTAAAAAACAGATAGTTGGAATACATAGGAACTAGTCAAACAAGTCTGTAATATCCAAGCTTCCCGGTGTGCATGCATGAGAAGCTGATGGGGTTAGAGATGCAGAACCATAAATCTGAGTTGGAGCACTCATCAAACTTCCCTGCGTGCCACTTATGAAGTCCGATGGAGTAAGAGACGTGCCTCCAATACCATGGGCCACCTGTGACAATTCATTGCAAAAAGTACATGTTAGAATAATACACTTTGTAAAAGTACATGAAGTCCTCTTTGGAATACACTTTGTAAAAGTACATGAAGTCCTCTTTTAAATACACTTTGTAAAAGTACATGAAGTCCTCTTTTAAATACACTTTGTAAAAGTACATGAAGTCCTCTTTTAAATACACTTTGTAAAAGTACATGAAGTCCTCTTTTAAATACACTTTGTAAAAGTACATGAAGGCCTCTTTCGAACATGTACCGGTACATACATACTATTTTGTGTGCCAACCATATAAGGATAATATGGTGTATATGTAGTAGCGTTAGCTTTAGCTTGAGCTTGAGCTTCAAATCGAAGCAACTTAGCAGCCTGTATGTTTTGAAGAATAATTAAAGATTGAAATTTATGAATTGCTTTTACATACTTGAATAGAGTTTGTAAAAAAAAAAAATGAATACACATTTTACCTTTGCTTTTGTTTGTTTTTTTGCCGTTACCTTGAACCGATTAACAATTTGATCTACTTTGGCAACCTTTCATTTCGTAACTGGACGACCTCTTTGCCGAGCAACCAAAGGACTAATCACCTTCCTACTAGTCCAAAAAAAAAAAAGAAAAAGAAGAAACATATTCTGATGTATGTGTGTTGGGTTTGGGGTTGGGGTTAGAAGAAATATATATATATATATATATATATATATGGCTGATAAAAATGAAGTGATGTATTTGTCTTGTGTGAACAGAACAAATGGAGATTGCAAAACCAAAAGCACCAGGAGAACTGTTGAATTGGGAGGATTTACAGAAAATGAAGTATTCATGGAACGTTGCATGTGAAGTCATGAGACTTGTACCTCCCCTTCAAGGTGCTTTCAGGGAGGCCATTACTGATTTTATGTATGCTGGTTACTCTGTTCCTAAGGGATGGAAGGTAAAACTCAAAATCCAAATATTATATATAAAATATATTTTTTACCTAATGTTTTTTTTTTTTACCAATATACCCCGAGACTTAGATTAGATCCTACCTGTATTTATTCATGTGGACTCTACTTAATTACTTTGTGGTGGTGGTTAAAAAATTTAATGAAAAATTTATTTATGTATGAAATGTGTATATATTCTATAAAATAAAACATGCATAAAAAAAATATTGATTCAATAGTCATAGTTACACCATTTTTTTTCTTTTTTTTTTTTTTTTTTTTTATTCTACCCAAAAAAAAAACAAAAAAAAAAAAAAACACACACACACACACACACAACAGCTTTAGGCTGGAACAAAAGCAGAACAAGACAAATGCCCTGGACAGTTAGCACACTGAGCTCTAGTGAAAGATGTAGGATGAGAAGTATCAAGATCTAAATTGAGTGTATTAGCTAATAGTTATATCAAAAATCAGAGAAAATGTTTTCCAGAGATGAACTAAAACAGAAGCCATCTCTAATGTAAATACATTAAAACCTAATCTGAATAAACTAATATAAGGTAAGTCCTTATCCTGATTGAAACTCTGGATGACCAGACAAACAGATAGAAAGAAAGAAAAAAATCCATTATACTGTCAAAGAATATATATAAAATACACAACTATTCCACATATAAAATCTAGAGACCCTAGTTTACCAAAATTCAAAATTCAATACCTCTTTATCTGCCTCCTCCTTTGTGGCAAATGCTGTATGCCCCTCCTGCTAAAGAAACTCAGGACTCCTACAATCACACAAACCAGTAATCAATAATCTTCATTGCAAAAGCTAAAAAGCTATTTTTCCAATTGATGAGATTGTAAATAACTTAACATCAAATTAGTGTTGCTATTTGTCCCTTTTTGACTTTAACATCAAACCAGTGTTGCTTATTAACTTAACATCAAACCAGTGTTGCTTATTAACTTAACATCAAACCAGTATTGCTATTTGTCCTTTTTCAAATAAATGCAACCAACAAGAGTAACTTAATTTATTAACTTTACTTAACTTACTACAATAGTTTATTACCCTTCATAACTTGCTATTTGTCCCTTTTTTCAGATGTCAAGTTCAAGTGTCAGCGGCAGTAGCTCAGATCGGTTGACATACGTCAACAGAAGTTGTCGTACATGTAATAAAAAGGCCACCATTTGAATTTCTGAGATCGATCGAAACAAAAACAAGTTATTCTACTCTTGTAATGATTGTGGTTTTATCGGATGGTGTTTACCTACGAATCCAGAATATAGAGGTTATCAAATTCCAAGAGACAAAGTGCCAACTGTCGACGAACAAGTTATGACCAAACAACTTCGAGCTATGACCGAACAACAAATAGAGATAACGGAACAACTTCGAATTCAGAACGCAAAGATGCAAAAGTTGATATATATATTGTCTGTGTTGCTTGTAATTGGTGCCTTTAAACTTATGAATATGTAATAACATATATATACATATATGTAAGTTAGAAGTAGAAGTAGATGTCAATGTACAAGTTCAAGTAGACTGAATACTTTTGTGATGTTTTCGAGGAAGTTATGTTTTGTTGTGTATTGAAACCTAATTATTGTACCTCTTTTGTGGTGAGTGGAATGGAAAATGACTTGTTCAAACTTGTACACTTTCTTCAATACTCATTGAATCGACATTGTTAAATACAGGAAACTGTTGAATACGAGGTAACTATTGTTGAATACAGGTAAACTATTGAATATATATGGTTGAATACAACGAAACTATTTAATATACATTGTTGAATACAGGGAAACCATTGAATATACATTGTTAAATACAGGGAAACTATTGAATATACATTGTTCATTACAGAGAAACTATTGAATACACATGGTTGAATACATGAAAACTGTTCAATAAACATTGTTCAATATAGAGAACTGCTAAATAAACATTGTTCATTACTAAATATTGCAACATCTTCATTACATAACAAATAATAATAATAACATAACTTCATTAATAATTAGTACACCACATGTTTTACAAATCCATATGCTGAATCTCAATAACAAAGTTGTAACATAAGCTACAATCTCAAAAATAAAGTTTGAAACTCAGATTAATAGACTACATAATTTCCAATATAAAAAACAGATAGTTGGAATACATAGAAACTAGTCAAACAAGTCTGTAATATCCAAGCTTCCCGGTGTGCATGCATGAGAAACTGATGGGGTTAGAGATGCAGAACCATAAATCTGAGTTGGAGCACTCATCAAACTTCCCTGCGTGCCACTTATGAAGCCCGATAGAGTAAGAGACGTGCCTCCAGTACCATGGGTCACCTGTGACAATTCATTGCAAAAAGTACATGTTAGAATAATACACTTTGTAAAAGTACATGAAGTCCTCTTTTAAATACACTTTGTAAAAGTACATGAAGGCCTCTTTCGAACATGTACCGGTACATACATACTATTTTGTGTGCCAACCATATAAGGATAATATGGTGTATATGCAGTAGCGTTAGCTTTAGCTTGAGCTTGAGCTTCAGCTTCAAATCGAAGCAACTTAGCAACCTGTATGTTTTGAAGAATAATTAAAGATTGAAATTTATGAATTGCTTTTACATACTTGAATAGAGTTTGTAAAAAAAAAATTTGAATACATATTTTACCTTCGCTTTTGTTTGTTTTTTTGCCATTGCCTTGAACCGATTAACAATTTGATCTACTTTGGCAACCTTTCGTTTCGTAACTGGACGACCTCTTCGCCGAGCAACCAAAGGACTAATCACCTTCTTACTAGTACCTCCTTGTGTAGAACTGGTGTGAATCAGACTTTTTGTGGAACATGGCAAATTACTCCCATCACCGGATTCTTCTTTTATGACACTCTCCTTGATTTCATCCAACCCAAGGCCTATAATTCTAGTTTTGTTTTCAGAGTTACTAGCAAGTTGTGTAATGGCAATCAATTTTTTGTTCATCCTCTCATAGGTACTTGCATTGAAATCATTCCCAAAGCCGATGTATGTGGTTTTGATGCATGCGTATTCTCTATCCACATCTTTTCTCCACCGGGGCAAAATGTATTTACTTGGAACCTCATTTATGCATCTTCTGACAAGCACAGAGAGTGAGTGAGCACACATAATGCCTCTAAACGCAAACAACCGACACATGCATTGAACTTCACATTCAATTGAATTAAAATAGACAACAAAGTCCACATGCTTCATCTTCTCACAAACTACCATCGCTTCTTGGACATTATATGTAGAAATTGATCCTTCCTCTTTCACAATCACCGTCTGATAGTAAACTAATCTCTTCAACTCTCCTTGAACTTCTTTGAATTTCGCATTGGTGTAGGCTTGCTGAAATTGCTTCTCAAAACATATATAGTTAGGCAATCAAACAATTTGTGTCGAGACTTGAAGTCTACTTTCTTCTCTTTCTCTATCTTATTTCTCAAGGCATTGTCATATTGTTCAACGAATTGCTTCAATGTAGATTTTGGATTTACATATCCATCAAAAAACGCATTCATACTTTGACTTCGTTGTGTAGTTGACATGCCAACCCAAAAAATGCTTTTAACATAGACAGGTACCCATCGATGCCGTTCATCATATAGTACCCCCAACCACTCATTATCATAAAGATTGAATGTTGCAAGCATCTCTTCCCATTTACTCTCATATTCAGCTCTTGTCAAACAGTCATAAACTGCAGTTTGCATAGCCAACTTTATGGCTTCATATTGAGCATATCCTTTCAACTTCTCTGGAGTTTTCTTCATGATATACCATAAGCACCACCGATGTCGAGCTTGTGGAAACACAATTTCTATAGCATTTTGCATAGCTCAACGCGGATCAGTTATGATAGCTTTTGGCGGATGATTTGACATGCAACATAACCATGACTTGAATAGCCAAACAAATGTGTTAGTGTCTTCACTAGACAACAATCCACAACCAAGCAAAATGGACTGTCCATGGTGATTAACTTCGACAAATGGAGCAAATAGCATGTCATATTTGTTCGTCAAATAAGTTGTGTCAAATGAAACGACATCTCCAAATGCTTCATAAGTCGCCCGAATCTTTGCATCAGCCCAAAACAAGTTTCTAATGCGAAACTCCTCATCAACATAAATCACATAAAAGAATCTCTCACTATGTGCTTTGCATCCTCATAAAATAACTTTGAAGTGATTCGACATCACCTTCCCCAAGCCTCAACCTTCTAGCTCTCTCAATGTAATTTCTTGCATCTCGCTTGTCAAATGTCAATGACTCGTATCCCCCCGCTTCAGTAACCATTGAATGAAAGTTCTAGACACCTCAATCCCTGCTTGATCATTAATTTCTAATATTCTCTTCACAGGAGTAAGAATTTTCTTATTCATTGTAAAATGACGTGAGTTGGTGGGAATCAAATCATGATTATGCTCAAGGTTAACTGTGGTTAGTTTATATCTCCCATCCTTTTGTACACTACCTCGTACCCTTGCTGTGCAACCAATTTTTGTGGACAACACATGGCTTCAGAGGGTTGACTTCTGATTTCTTTTTTCTTTGCCCCGCTCGAGAACATTCAATTGCAAAGTTTAGCAATTGCCCATCATCTCCAAAATGTTGTGCTCTATGAGCTATAGAAAATCCAACATGCTTATCATATTTGCCATAAAATGTGTAAGCCTCTTCCCTTGAGCTAAAACACATACCCTTTTGAGGTTCTTCAACGTCTTCGCCCTCATTTATTAAAGGATTCTCACCAACATTTGAATCAACCTCCATTCTTCCACTTTGCATATTGAAATAACAATTAAACAAATATCAGTTCCCTAACAATGCCCAAACAAAAATATTGATTTCATTATATAACAATTATGAAACTAAACTTCATATTTCAGATTTTATATAAACTCCATTCAGAATGATCACTGTGAACCAAATTTCATATTTCACATTACTTATATATATATATATATATAGAACTAAACTTCACAAAATGACAAATTACTCATCCTTTCAGATTACAGATTATAGATTACAAAATGATAGATTACAGATTATATAACACTGCCCAAATAGCTACAAATTACTTATATTTCAGATTACAGATTATATAACACTGCCCAAATAGCTACAAATTACTTATATTTCAGATTACAGATTATATAACACTGCCCAAATAGCTACAAATTACTTATATTTCAGATTACAGATTATATAACACTGCCCAAATTTCATATTTCATATTATATAACAATTACTCATATTTCAGATTACTCATATATATTTTAGATTTCATAGGACCAAAATGACAAATTTCAGATTAGGGAAGTTCCATATATATACTCATTTACTCATTTTAAACTGAAAGAGAACTCTATATATGAGAATTAGCATATAGACAAACTCCAGAGTTCAGATTTCAGATTAGTCATTTCACTATTCAGATTTCAGAATTAGCATATAACTGAAAAAGAACTCATTTACTCATTTCACTATTCAGATTTCAGAATTAGCATATAACTGAAAGAGAACTCAAGCTGGATTAGTCATATGAAATTGATTTTTTACCTCATAAACCACCGATCCAGATTACATGCGAGACAGAGACACAGCGGAAGAGGAAGACAAACAGAGGACAACCAAATTGATGGACAGAGGACAACCAGATTGATGAGAGCGACGAAGATTGAGGCTAGATGAGAGCGACGAACAGAGATACAGGTTTGTAAAAGGGACAAATAGGGACAACCAGAGTTCCCGGCGAGCTATGGCCGTCGTCGACGACGGAGAGCTATGGTGGAGGAGGAGGATGGCGGCGAGAGGTGAGGATAGACGAGGGAAGATGGTGGAGACAGGTTTGGTTCCCGCTTTTTCCAGATTTTGTTTTTGTTTTGTTTTGTTTTGTTTTTTTTTTTTCAACTGTGTTTACACATCAGCTACCATGTCACTGGGGGTCAGAAGTCACTGAGGGTCTGTAGTGGGGTTGATACATTTATTTGAAACCTGAAATTATGCAAATTACCTATTTTGAAAAAATGAAAGCATGAAGAAATTAAGGAAACACACAGAGGAATGAAAAGGTGATAGTTCAGAAGTTGCATAACGAGTAGCAGCAACATCAACAATTAAAAAAGATGGGGATGTAATTATTATTCTGTTTAGATAGGATGGGGTTGTAATTTATTGTGATTATTATTAGCCACAATCATTGTGGAGTTTCATCAATAGCCACAATCATGATTTGGTTATGATTTATTGTAGTAATTTATTGTGATTTTGGTTATTATTTATTTTGATTATACTCAAAAAGTCTATTTTTATGTGATATTTAGTTATAACTTATTATGTTATTTTAATTATAATTGAAAATAATTTAATTTAATATTTATGATAATTAACATTATAAATATTGTAACTTATATATAATACACATTGTCAAAAGATATGTATCATCGTAGAAAAACTTATAGTGTGCACCCTTAGAAGTGCATACCATATGCACTTTATACAAATTAGTTTAACTTCATTATAAAATTTCGTAACATTGATTACAAAATAAGTAAACTGATCACAAATTAGCATAATAAAATATTCAATATTTTGTGATTCATATTACAAAAATTTATGATTTAGGGTTGGTTTAGGATGTTCTAAAAAAGTACACTTTTTGACTTATTGGCTTATATGAGTTGATGTTGAGTTTGAGTTCGGTTTGATGTGATGTGTTAGAGAGGTGAGGTGATGTGATTTAAATAAAATGATGTGACTTAAATAGTATAGTGACTTTTTGACTTTTTTAAGTTATGCCAAATCAAGCCTTAATTACGACATATTTTTATTACGTCAATTTATAATGAGATTATATACTTATAGTTGATGTTATAAAATTTTGTGATAAAAATAACTTCAATTTAGGATAGGAAGCATATAACCTCTAAGTGGGGGAGTAAAAATGGTCCGCAATCCGAAACCTGCCCTCGGCGTGAGGTGGGCTCGGGCTCGGGCTCGAGTCTAGTCTAGGACCATGGGCTTGGACAGTCATTTTGAAACTTGCCCCGACCCTGGAACCCGACCTAAGTCCGAGTCCACCCAAGGCCCATCATCATTTTTAATAGAAAAAAATAATTTTTTGGGGAAAAAAAAAAAAAAAAAAAAAAAAAAACG